CGTAGCTTAGAAGCGGCACAAGGCCGACAGCATGGGGCAACCAGTGAGGATCGAACTTACGATTCAGTTGTAACTGTTCTACCGAGACAAGATTGCTAACCATTACACTGCCTAGAGTTGCCCATAGAGATCTGAATAAAGAAGTAGTATAGTGAATAGAGTAGAGAATAGCGGCTCGTATAGTAATAGAGTTGAAATAGCGATCCGAATAGTAATAGAGGATAGGCTAAAAATGAGATCATTTAGACGTCACGTCACTTCCTACATATATGTCTTTCCTCTATAGTCATGTGGTCTACTTAATTCAATACTGAGATCGCCTGTGTTTGCTCAATGGCGATTTATGTTCAAACTTAAGTCCCAGCAGCGACACTTTATTCCTATATAACAAACAATATATTTCTTTTCCAATCATTAATTCTAGTCATGAAATACACTTTAATTTTAATTAAAAACAATTGAAAATAAAAGTCCACTAATGTTTCTACGTTTTCAGCCGATGCAAGGCGATAATACTAATGAGATGCATTATGCTACTGCGTGGGAAAAGAGAATAAAAGGAACCGGAAATCGGAAACAAGGGACAAAACTCTCTTCCTGTTTAAAAGACTCGGATAGGGAGTACGAACATATCTACTCTCGTTAAGAGGAAAAATTAAATAATTATTAAATAAAATGTTAAAGATCAAGCGGAGAGCTTAAAAGTATAGAGTTGAAGTAGTCCTTAGAAGGAACCAGAAACCCTATCCCAAACATTAAACAAGGGATGAATTTCTAATTATCTTCAAAAAAAAAAAAAAAAAAACGGGGAGGAGTGTGAACAGGACCATAGTCGAAGCAATCTACTCCTATTGAGAAGGAAATGTAATTAGAAGTTACACGGTTAGGCGGAGACGTTATGACAATAGAGTCGAATAGATTTTACAAGGAAGCAGAAACGCAATCCGAAACAGGAGAGAAAGCGATAAATTTTTGCTCCTGTTCAAAAGTCCTGTTGAGAAGAAAAACGTAATTATTAAATACGATTTAGTAGACTTTAGAAGGAACCGGAAACTCAGTCCAGAACAAGAAATAAGATATAAAACACTACTCTTTTTCAAAGGAGGAGTGTGAATCGGGCTTTAGGCAAACCTATCTACACTTGCTTCATGCTACGTAAAGCCCATTAATGATCAAGGATACGCATATATGACTATTTAATCACACACTGACTTCATAAGCGGAATTTTACATGAGTTTAATGTGACTCAATGTCCTCTGTGACTGTGAATTAGCGAAAAAATTACTCAAAAAAATATTTGTTAACGTGCATATCTTGAGTTCTTGAGATCAATTTTTCAGTCGTTCAACCTTTATACTCTTTTTTGTTTAAAAAATACTTCCAATTTAACCCATTAATTCCCGATTTAAATTACAGATACCCCCTCCCCCCAAAAAAGAAAACCGATATTAATTATAGCCGTTTCCTTATAAAGAAACATTTGACATTCATTGTCCAAACAGCCAGTACTATATTCGGTTGAAATTTATAAAATCTCTCTCTTAAGTTCAGTAGATGTAATAATAGCCGTTTCCTTACAAGGAAACATTTGACATTCATTGGCCAAACAGCCAGTACTTCCTCACCCTTTTTTTTTTTCAGTGGTGTAGAATTAGAAAATGTTGAATATATAATTATTTTCTCACCTTGTTATGTGTGATTTCCATGGTAGTTATTGCTGCTGTTGTTAGTCCCCAACTAATATGGTTTATTCTATTTAGTACAGTTCTTTCTTTGTGATTATGTAGCGCCAGTCCACAATATTCAAAGAAGTATGATATTTGCCAAGGCACTAAGGCTTTGCTCGCTCAATCCCTGTATTTATTGATCTTGCGCTTGTTTAGACAGTTTAGATATTTCTGACTCAGTTTTAACTCATTAATAGCAATCAGTTGCCATTAATGGTTTAAACAAGTGCAAAAAATGTTTATTTACATTCAGACTAATATTCACATCTTTCTTTTAGCATTGTTGCCGTTGGTGTGCTATCAGGTTTTCATCAGGTGCCTATCGATTGGTGAAATCTTCAGAGAATTTCGAAGTGAACCCTTTATTTAATCTAGATTAGAAGATTGTTCTCATTACTAAGTCTAGACATAAAATAAGTTGTAAAAAAAGGAGGAAAGGTATAAATATTTGAAACATGAGGTACAACACTTGTTTGGTGGTAAAAAATCTCGTAGATTTTATTGATGATGTGGGCACCCTTGGAACTGTGAGAAGAAATCCCTAAACAGCTAGAGAAAATTAGAAATGTTGTTCGTATCGACAGGATTCAGATAACAACGCTCCTTAGAATATCAAGATACGTGAGATTCATAATTTCTTACGGTTTATTTAGTGGGTTTTTAAAAGCCGGAAATATTCTTGTTTATGAGAAGAATTTTTTTTTGAATTAACAATATTTAGAATAACAATGATTTCTCTAAACACAAGTTATAATATTTTATTAATCTATAACCTGTGGCGAATTCTTACCTTTCCCAGGGATATTTGAGCTGAAGTAGATGTAACAAAACCAACTGGAATTCGAAATCTGCATTCTGATTTATTCTTTCGAGCTGCAATTCAATACACTATCCACACATCCCATAATTGCCAGATTTATTTTTGCGATGTAGAGAGGTAAAGAAATGAGATTATCCATAGGCGTTTGTTATTAGACGCTCCTGATCGTCAGATTACGGCATAATATCTGCTTGACATAAAGAAGATAAGAAAAGTACCAACAATAATATTATCAGAACTAAATGACTGGAAATGAAAGTTTTTTTAAATAAAAATAGCCTATAGAAGTGCAATAAGATAAAAAAAAATATTGGCAAAAGTGGACAATCGGGCCCGCCAAAAAAGACGTTTTTTTTCTATTGCTACCGCTACTATTTGGACTACTTTCAGCAATACATAGTTTTTTTTTTTAAGCAATGGTTAGAACTAAACTAACTTGGCTAACAGTCTAACTCTCTGGCTTCGGGTGGAGAGGAACCCGGACGAGGCTCTGCCGAAGGGCAGAGTCTCGTTCGGGGTGGTTGACTGCCCCTGAACCCGTTTATGCGGGTTCAAAGAGGAAATATTTTTGGCCGATCATACGGGCTCGGAGATCCCACATTAATCCCGGCCTTGTGCCACATGTAACGCTCGTGAGGGGTAGCTTAATATCACTAAAATAAAACCCAAACATATGAAAGTAATTTTATACATTGTTCTGTTCTCGAGAACTGACAGCAGACATTTTAAACACTATTTATTTATTAGATTGTTTATTTACAAGAATAATTTTATTTTTTATATTTTAAAAACTAATATAATTGTATTAAGACTAATGCAATGTAATATTTATCATTTACCAATTTATAATGAAATAAATAGGAAAACAATTTTTATACAAAATTTAGAAACATTTCCTAAATTATTAAAATATGTGAAGGAACCATAAATGAATTTTTATTATTTATCATTTTAAATATTTTGAATCAATTAAAGATTATGCGATATTTAGCTAACAATTCCAATAAATAATATACTGAATAAATATTATAAATAAACAGTCTAATAAATAAGTCAACTTCTTGAGAGCAACTCTCTGCGTCTGCTCGGTCTCACGTTGACTGCTGACCTGAGATGGAACAAATACATAAAGTTGGCTCTCTGTGCCGCGCCAGGAATTTTTTCTCCCCGGAATCGATACTTCAAATATATAAATCAACCATTCGCCCTTGCATGGAGTATCGCTGCCATATATGGTCTGGTGCACCTTCTATTTACCTCGGAGTTCTTGACAAGATCCAGAGGCGGGTATGTAATATAATTGGCCCTGATCTGGCATCTCGTCTACAGTCACTCTCTCGCAGACGCGCCGTCGCCTCTCCCTGTCTTTTCTACAAATACTTTCATGGTAATTGCTCCGATGAGCTGCTTTCACTGGTTCCCAGACTTCATGAATTCAAGCGCACTATGAGGCTGGCATCCCGCTCTCACCCTTTCACTGTAGAAACTTTTAAATGTAGCCGTCTCTTCTACTCCAATAGCTTCATACCTCGCACCTCTCGCCTGTGGAACACCCTTCCCTATTACTGTTTCCCTGAGAGCTATAATCTCCAACTATTCAAATGTAATGTCAATCGACATCTCCAGTTACCTTGATCTACCCACTTCTCCTCATCCTTTCTTCTATCACTCCTACCTGCTCTCGCTCCAAATCTTCTGCAACCTCCTGCATCCTAGTGGCTTCACGCCTTGCTCGGGGCGAAATGCTTAAAAAAAAAAGAAAAAAAAAGTGTTTATTATATTCGTTATCAGCATTCAAAAATTCAAGCAAAGGTATAAATTCACTTTCATGTTTTTAGGTTTTATTACAGTTCTAATTATCGCTTTTTAAAATAATAAACATTGCTAAGGAGTAAAGGTAGTTAAAATAAAAGCGTTTCCACAGGGAGAAAAAATGTAAGAAAATCCCTATTTGCCAAGATAATGTTAACGAATAGGATAAAATAAATAAATACGACTAATTTGAATTTGAAGCTGACCAAATAAGGCCGCTTAAAATTAAAAAGTCCGGGGTAGCATAAAAAAATGTACAGAGATGAACCTTAAGAAGATCGATGCTAGATCCTGATTACAATATTTTCAAAAAAAAATAAATAACTTTATGGAATTGGTCATCTACTAAGAAGAGAATTATTAACGAATAAAAAATATATAACTGTACGTGTTACGTAAGACTTAATACCGGGATATGTGTAAGAAGAATGCATGTGTCAAGTAAATTGTCTTAGTACCGCAAGCTTTTACTTAAGAGACAAGCTATAGCTAACATACTCCCGAGTGAATGCTTCCCCGATGACTATAATTTTAATCGCTTCAAGTCTAGAGACAACGATTATCTATCTTACATATCATCATACACTGCAGTAATTTATTACTCATGCTTCTCCTCAACAAACTTATTCTTCAACATCATCTAGCAGCAATCGTTGCCTACTGTGTATATTGACATAGTCGCTCCCTCAGGGAATGTGCTGAACAGAAAGAAGAAGAAGGAGGAGGAAGAAGGAGAAGTAGTAAAAAAAAAGAAGGAGAAAGAAAGAAAAAGGAGGAAGAAGAAGAAGAAGAAAGAAAAAGGGAGAAAAAAGGAAGAAGAAGAAAGAAAGAAAGAAAGAAAGAAAGAAAAAGGAAGGAGAAAGAAAAAGGATGAAGAAGAAAAGAAAAAGGAAGAAGAAAAGAAAATAGAAGATGAAAAGAAACTTTGAACATATTCAAAAATAAAATGGAAATCTTCTAAATTTGGCACGTGTGGACATCAGTAAATCCAATTGTATTTGGAGCCCTCTGTTTGATTGGAAGATATTATACCATGCTCAGTGAATGGGTACTTGGAAACCTATGCATTAAACAAATACAACCAAAAAGTTCTCACAGTACTGCTCATACCTTAGAAGGGATTTATCCAAGTAAAATGAATGTAGTCTTAGGTTGTTTCATTTTTATTTATTTATTCTTTTAACCTTTTTAAAAAAAATGTTCAGTGAAAAATGTCACGATGGCATTTCTGACCATGTCCCTGGAAGGAAATGAGTATAAACCAAAAATGAAATAATAATAATAATAATAATAATAATAATAATAATAATGTTGCCATAAAGTATTTTAAATGAGACGTAATATGTTTATGTTTATGCTTGTACAACCAGCAAAGATTCATCATTAGAAAATGAGTGATGCTTTCAAGTGAGGATTGTGACGTGTCGAAAGAATTTAAGATGACATCCTGCGGGAAAAAAAAACCTGTCAAGGCTGATGGTATCACTGTTTCTTTGACAAATAGGCTCTCTTGTAAGAGTTGATACATGGCATGTGCGCATATGTTGTTCAATGGGTAAGATGGCGGAGGATGATGCTGGTAATGGGCAAGATTACAGTAACGAAGGGATGAATATGGGAATAAGACGGATGAGGATGAAAGTGACAAAAAAGATTATAGTAACGTGTGTATTATATATATATATATATATATATATATATATATATATATATAACGAGAATATTGTTTTTGCCGTGAAACTGGAAGGGCTTATTCTTAGAGGGGAGGGTCTATACTTAGGTACAAAATGTTTCTGACACCTTCTGTGATTGTCGGTCTTTCTCACTCTCTCTCTACTTATTTACAGACGCGCGCGCGAACACGCACAAGTATGTGTGTGTGTGTGTGTGTGTGTGTGGAGAGAGAGAGAAGGCGTGATGGGTAAATTGACGCCATATTCTTTCTTTTTATGTACCGCGTCCTTTCAAGACGTAGGCGATCATGGCTCTTCACTTTTCCTTATCACTTGTGGCTCTCAGCAGGTTTTGACTTTCTGCCAACTACTCCAGTCCACGCTCCGCCATCCACCTGCCCAAGCCGCCACATATGTCATGCGCTGCTCCCCCCTGTCTCTTTTTCACACTCTTCGTCCCGTGAGCATCAGATTATCCAGGCCCTCCTTTCTCATCACGTGTCCCATAAATTTCATCTCCCTCTTCCTTATGTTAAGTATAAACTTCGTCCTTGTTTCCATCCTCTCCAAGACCTGATCGTTGCTCACATGCTCCGTCCATGATATCCTCAGCATCCTTCTGTAGAATCACATCTCCGCCGTCTTCATCATCCTTGAGGATACCGTCCAACATTCTCTGCCGTATAGGAGGACAGATGTCACGTAGCAGCTCAGTACTCTTTTGTTTGTCGCCATAGAAATCATCCTGTTTCCCATTTTCTGTCCAGCTTCTGGAATGTATCCTTGGCCTTCCCAGTCCGTCTTCGGATTTCAGCGTCGCGCCTACCGTCCTCCGTCAGAACACTTCCCGGCTACTTAAACTTCCGCACATGTTTGATTTTAGTGTCCCTAACCTTCAAATTCCATTTCAGGCCAAACCATTTACTAATGACAATGTATTCTGTCTTCTTGTAGTTTATGGTTAGTCCATTCTTTTCGCTCTCCCTTGCTACCTTCTGTAGGCGGTTTTGTAGTTTGTTTTCCGTGTCTGCTGTCAGTACCGTGTCATCTGCGTATCTTCTGCTGATAAGGATGTGGCCGCCATAGATGAATCCTGGTAGGAACTTTAGTTCCCTCAGAATTGCCTCTCTTTATAGCTTGAATAGGTCCGTTTAAAAGACACATGACTTAAGCCTCTTCTATTTTTGTAATTCGCTGAGCTCATTCTCGATGCGAACGCATGCGGTTTGCTGCCAGTATAGGTTCTTGATTATTCTGATATCCCTCCCGAATATATCAAGGTTGCTGATCAGTTCCATCAGATACGTGTGACGTACTTTGTCGAAGGCCTTTGCATAGCCTATAAAAAATAAATACACGTCCTTCTGCATCTGTATTATTCTTTCCGATAACATTCTAAGCATGAAAATCGCATTCCTTGTTCCGGTGCCTTTGACGAACCCGCACTGTTCTTGTCCTATTTCTGGCCCGATTCTCCTGCTTGCTGTATTCATCAGAAAACGGATGATGAGTTTGTGACGTAGCTCATTAGATTGATTGTTTGGTGAAGCTCGCATTCGTTTGCAAATGGGTTCTTAGGTAGTGCTATGAAAATAGATCTGCTGTGATCGTCCGGTACGTTCTTGTCTATTCCAAATTTATCTTGTCAGCATTTCCGTTACGATTCCGTCTGGCCCTGCTCACTTGTTACTGTTAAATTTGGCCAGTGCAGCTTCTACTTCGGTTTTTAGAATTTCAGGTCCGTCGATAGTTCGGTGTATTGTTGGTTGTTCTCTTTCGTCCTTGAAGAGTTCGCCAATATACTTGCGCCAGCGTTGAAAAGTAAAAAAAAAAAAAAAAATGGAAATATTAAAATCAAGGAAGTACAGAGATCTAAAAATCTGGAAAAAGTTGTAACATCGATGGAAAATTGGACGCAAAAATACGAAGGCGCATTGACATAGAGAAAGATGTCTTCTAAAAGCTAAACAAAGTGATAAAAGATAGATAAATCTCTTTAGAAGCAATAAACAAATGCAGAACCGCTATTTAATATCAATCTACTTATATCGTAAGAAAGTGAGACAATTTCCTCAGTGGTGGACAAAAAACTTGACACAATAGTGTTGTGGTTCTACAGCCGGATGTTGAGAATTCCATGGCTGGAACATGTGACAAACGAGGAAGTTTTATTGATAACGTGAAGTTTTATTGATAACGTGAGCAAAACAAACATGTAAAATCAGATAGAGACAATTGAAATTTCTAGGACACATAATGAGGCAATAATGCTTAGAGAATTTCACATAGTTAGGCAATAGTGAACACAAAAATTTAAGATGGTAACAGCGAGTATTATATCTAACTAGCAGCATAGCCCGGCGTTGCCCGTGCTTGATTCAAAAATCGTACGACTCATACAGCAATCGTTATCACTTGACTTAAAATATTTTTGCCATTCCTTGCCTTTAAAGGAGTGCCCTTTGCCTTGGTGATGTTGCTACCTGCCTTACTTCTTGCCTATCTCACACTGCGAATTTTTTCTAAGCTCTATACTAAACATTAAATCTGTTACGAAAAAAGAACTAAACAAAACGAACAGCTTTAAAAAAGGACTCGTAACTGGAAAAACAGAATGAAAAAAGAATGTTAACAACAAATACTTTTTCACACCCAAACCCAGTTCTGCGGAATCAGAATTAACGTTGAGTTTAAGCAAGCGAATGAGCCAATTGGAGTGCCATGCAGATTTAAATTTTTCCCACTTGTGACAAATGCCGCTATCGATTTTTTTTGCATGCTAGCATGCTAGTTAACATTCGTGACAGTCGGCTGTTGGCTCACAATCTGGCCAATAGAAAATGGCCGCAAACTACATGAAAACTGCCGTAGAAGCATGAAAAAATCGATTATTTCCAATATCGATGGGAGCTGGGAAATGCAAATCGGTCTTGGCCTTTCTGCTAAGTTGGAGCATGTGCATGTAAATTTTGGTGCAAATCCGTCGAAAAATGCGACCGTGCATTCGTTACACACACACACACACACACACACACTAACGCATCCTGCCTTTTATAGATAGAGATGAGTGTATGTACATGGATAACAGAACATAGAGAGAAAGAGAAAGAGAGAGAGAGAAAAAATAAGGTGACAGTCAATGCTTAGATCTACACACGAGAGCCATGATCGACTACTCCTTGGGGCACGATACATAAAAGATGTGAGCTTGCTGCCCACTGGATATCTCACTAGGGCTGGCTTGTTCTAGGGTTTGCGTAGGAGAAATCGGATAGTCAAGAGCGATTTCTACTCGGGTTCGTTCTACACTTAAACGTAAATACCCTTTGGAAATCTATGAATCTATATCTGCCCCACTAGCTATGCAGGACTTGAATCTGGTAAATATCAATTCTCCCAAAATGGATAATGCAATATTCATTCACTAAAAATTAACATATTGTTGCAATCCAAAATATATTACAGTTTTAACTCCTTCCCCGCCAATTACTTTGGTAAAAAGCGTTTCCAGATGAATTATTTTGTTTTCAAGCAACTGAAACATCTTGAAATACCCGAGCGATGGCTAACATATTTACCAGACGTATGAGTTGACAACTGGACTCGTTTCAAATTCAGAAGAGCATAACAAGAATCAGGATGGATGTATAAACACCTCCCTAGCTAGTTTCGGACGTTATATTTTGGGTGTGTTAATTCGCCCGTGTCAAACAAAGACATTTTTGGTAAAAACGTATATGCACGTACACAGAAGGTTGCTAAGCTGTAAGTAACAACCAAAAAAAAAAAGTCAATGTCTTGTGCCAAATATGATACGCCTCTTAAACAATATACCTGTTAACGTGGCACAACAGTCAGCGAATTCATTACGTATGGCATTTAGGTGATGTCGGGATTTTGATCGTCATTCAATAATTCATTTATGCTTGTGCTTACCGCTATATCACATTGAAACCCCAGTTCTGGAAGTTAACATCGAGCCTGTTTAGTACCTAGATGAGTAACAGCTTCGGAACGCCAGTTGGTGTCATTTTGGATGTGCGGATGACGTAATGGATAACGAGTCGGATTTTTGAATCGGAGAGTCGAGTTCCAATTCAAGTTCTGTTCATTATATTGACTTACGATCAACAGATCATTATACAAAATTAATAATGCACAACTAGATTGTAATATATATATATATATATATATATATATATATATATATATATATATATATATATATATATATATATATATATATATAT